CATCTCAGCGATCTCTCTCTTTCGAACATACTTTTCGCTATGCAAAATATTGAGTTTCGACCAGTCAAAATCATGTCCCGATTCTAATCTATGTTTGCTAATGACTGAGTGATTAGTTTCATGTAACTTTATATTATTACAATGTTCTTTCATTCGCGTACATAAATGTCTTTTAGTTTGCCCAATGTATGATAAGTTACAATCTTTACAATTTAATTTGTATACAACACTTGTCTTGTCATTATTATGTAAGCTATCTTTACCGCGTCTAATTAAATTATTTAGTTTTTTTGTTATTTTGTAGACGACGTTAAAACCACTATTTCGTAAAAGATGGTATAGATCATGACTCGTATTCTCTATGGTATTGTAATAAAATGAGGCTTGTTTAAACGAGTAGGATTCACGTCAATAGTATCATTGTGGTCGCGATTATTTAAAAAATTAATTCGTTTTTGAATATGTCTATGGATGATATGTTCTGGAAAACAGTTATTAATTAAGGTGTCATATACTAACTTAATGTTTTCTTGTTTGAAGCAGTCATTAGATAATAAAATAGCATGGTCAACTAAATTATAGATAGTGTTAATTTTGTATTTTAGCGGGTGGTTCGAATAATAATTAATGTATCTCCCAGAACATGTAGGTTTCCTGAACCAATTTGTAATTAGTCTATTTCCCGATCGAGTGACTTTAACATTTAAAAAACTAATGGACGAATCAATCTCCATCTCGTAAGTAAATCGCAAGCGTTCGTGGTAATTATTAAAGTTGGTTAACATTTCGTCAATTCTTGTGCGTGGCACTATCGCAAAAACATCGTCCACAAATCTATAATAAATAGGAACGGTAAAATTCAATGAATTTAAGCATTGTGTCTCCAGATCGTCCATCACCATATCTGCTAAGATAGGTGAAAGCGGAGAACTCATGGGAGTGCCGAAGATCTGTTCATAAAAACGTCCATTAAACGAAAAGCAAGTTGAATCAAAAATCGCTTCTATTGCATATAAAAATTGAGATAAGTTAAATTTTGTGTTTTTTACAATATCATCCCAACGATTTCTTATGGCATTTACAACTAACTCTTTTGGGACGTTTGCAAATAGCGAAGTTAGATCCAACGAGATCATGATGTTGTCATCATTAATAGTTGTATTTTTGATATTCTCGACGAAGGACCAACCATCTTTAATGAATGAATTTGGTTTCTTTATCGATATATACAGAATATTTTGGATGTAACTGGAGATATACCTTATATACCGGGCTTCCCAGAGCAGATACGATAATTCTCAACGGAAAACCGTCTTTATGGATCTTCGGCAGACCGTAACAACGCGATAAATTTCCGTTCGTACAATTTAAGTTTTTATAAGTCAACTCATTAATCAAATTATTTTTGCGCCATAATTTGACCAACTCATTGATCTTATTTGTTTGTCTTTTCAGAGGATTCTTATTTAATTCTTTATACGTGGTTTGGTCACTCAACAGCAAGTCCATCTTGTCAAAATTATCTTTTGCGAATCAATACAAATTGCTGAACTTTGAGACTGAAGATCAAAATATTAATTTAAATTATCTAGATAACAAAATTAAAAATAAAATATCGAAAAACGACTGTTTGAATGCTTACCACATGACTTAGTGACTTAGCCACGGAAATCCTAGTTGTTTCAATAGCATCAGTGGGCAGAATATTGTTATTCACTTCAAAGCTCTTGACCACGTCCAAAATATAATTGATGCGATTATTTTTTAAATTCTGTTCTATAGGCAACGCAAAATTTTCGCCCAAGCTCAAAAAGTCAGAAACTGTGTCAGGTATGTCCTTGCTGCTGATGTTAACAAACCACTTAGTCTTGTCAATATTCGAAAAAGGATGTAAACAAGTGTTGTACTTTTATTTCAAATTGTTGAACTTCTTAATTGAGTTGTTTTTTATACTGTAGTCAAATGATGTAAGTCTATGTCTATTTAATTCAAAAAAATTAGTCACTAAGTCATGTGGTAAGCATTCAAACAGTCGTTTTTCGATATTTTATTTTTAATTTTGTTATCTAGATAATTTAAATTAATATTTTGATCTTCAATCTCAAAGTTCAGCAATTTGTATTGATTCGCAAAAGATAATTTTGACAAGATGGACTTGCTGTTGAGTGACCAAACCACGTATAAAGAATTAAATAAGAATCCTCTGAAAAGACAAACAAATAAGATCAATGAGTTGGTCAAATTATGGCGCAAAAATAATTTGATTAATGAGTTGACTTATAAAAACTTAAATTGTACGAACGGAAATTTATCGCGTTGTTACGGTCTGCCGAAGATCCATAAAGACGGTTTTCCGTTGAGAATTATCGTATCTGCTCTGGGAAGCCCGGTATATAAGGTATATCTCCAGTTACATCCAAAATATTCTGTATATATCGATAAAGAAACCAAATTCATTCATTAAAGATGGTTGGTCCTTCGTCGAGAATATCAAAAATACAACTATTAATGATGACAACATCATGATCTCGTTGGATCTAACTTCGCTATTTGCAAACGTCCCAAAAGAGTTAGTTGTAAATGCCATAAGAAATCGTTGGGATGATATTGTAAAAAACACAAAATTTAACTTATCTCAATTTTTATATGCAATAGAAGCGATTTTTGATTCAACTTGCTTTTCGTTTAATGGACGTTTTTATGAACAGATCTTCGGCACTCCCATGAGTTCTCCGCTTTCACCTATCTTAGCAGATATGGTGATGGACGATCTGGAGACACAATGCTTAAATTCATTGAATTTTACCGTTCCTATTTATTATAGATTTGTGGACGATGTTTTTGCGATAGTGCCACGCACAAGAATTGACGAAATGTTAACCAACTTTAATAATTACCACGAACGCTTGCGATTTACTTACGAGATGGAGATTGATTCGTCCATTAGTTTTTTAAATGTTAAAGTCACTCGATCGGGAAATAGACTAATTACAAATTGGTTCAGGAAACCTACATGTTCTGGGAGATACATTAATTATTATTCGAACCACCCGCTAAAATACAAAATTAACACTATCTATAATTTAGTTGACCATGCTATTTTATTATCTAATGACTGCTTCAAACAAGAAAACATTAAGTTAGTATATGACACCTTAATTAATAACTGTTTTCCAGAACATATCATCCATAGACATATTCAAAAACGAATTAATTTTTTAAATAATCGCGACCACAATGATACTATTGACGTGAATCCTACTCGTTTAAACAAGCCTCATTTTATTACAATACCATAGAGAATACGAGTCATGATCTATACCATCTTTTACGAAATAGTGGTTTTAACGTCGTCTACAAAATAACAAAAAAACTAAATAATTTAATTAGACGCGGTAAAGATAGCTTACATAATAATGACAAGACAAGTGTTGTATACAAATTAAATTGTAAAGATTGTAACTTATCATACATTGGGCAAACTAAAAGACATTTATGTACGCGAATGAAAGAACATTGTAATAATATAAAGTTACATGAAACTAATCACTCAGTCATTAGCAAACATAGATTAGAATCGGGACATGATTTTGACTGGTCGAAACTCAATATTTTGCATAGCGAAAAGTATGTTCGAAAGAGAGAGATCGCTGAGATGTTCTTTATCAAGAGATTTAATAATCTAATCAACCTACAGAAAGACACGGATAGTTTAAACAACATTTATGACAAAATAATAAAGGTCACGTAGTTTCGTTTTTTCTTCTTGTTGTGTTTAGTTTCTTGACGAAGTCTCACACGGACGCATCAGTTTCTCTCAAATTCGAATCTAGTTAAATAACGTTTTTTGCTAATGTGACTTGTGCAGTTTTGCAGGATTATCGTCTATGCCTATCTCTTGATTATTATTACATCGGTAAAATTGATCACACTTTATTTCGTTGTGCTTGTTATATTATTCAAACTGAAAATTAATTGTTTAATTTATTTATAAATCTTTCCAGTATATACTTGATAAGGACCACAACCATATGTTCGAAACATCGTATTAATAAACAATTTTCTGGCTAGTTTGGTCGACTACATTTTTTTCAACGATCCTTGGATTATCTGACTAGCGACATAAAGTTATTTTATTAATTTTATAAATGGTTTATGTAAAATTAAAAAATTATTTCAAGCCTTATAACTCGAAAAGTACTCAATAAAAAAATACTGTACTATAGTGTTTTGAAAAGCTCTCAAGATAAGCTATAAGAATGTGTAATGAAAAGTAAGGGGCATTTGAGAAATTAAAGATAAGGTTTCGTGTAACCTTCACACAACTCCAAGGTCAAAGATCAGTAAATAGATCATTTCAATCCCTATAACTTTTATTTAAAATATTTTTCTATACAACCATATTTTTCGATATACCGGTGTTCTGACTTTTTTACACCCTATATATTTACAACTGTTGTATTGTCTACAAAAATAGTGATATAAAACAATTGCGTTAACTAAGGATAACAATTTGTACAAAATAAATAGAAGTACAAAAAAGAAAATTTGTACAAATTAAAGAAATATTTTAATTGAAAACTCTGTTATACAAAATAATTGTTTTAATTTTCAAAAATATTATAATATAATTAAAAAACTAAAAATTTATTTAAAAATTGAAAACTACAAATTAATATAAAACAAAAAAATAAAAAAAAATTTAATTAAAAAAACTCGGCTGCGGCCAGATTCGTTTTCAGCAAAAAATCTATCAGATTCTGTTTTGCTCTTTGTAACTGACTTTGTAACTAACTGAACCTAAAATTTCACAAGCTCTTATTTTTAAAATAATTTAAACTTATCAGTTTAATTCTTTTCACAATAATATTTATAATCTTAATTATTATTAAATTGTTTTCAATGTATTTCACTGCTGATATAGTGATTATTTTGCAATAATAATAAAATTAATCCAAAATCTTGTATCCATATTTATAATATTTTTTTTATATTTTCAGAAGAACAATGGAAATGGTTGCATACTACATTTGACAAATATTATCCCATTACAAAACTTTGGGCTTTCTTTAGGCCTATTGTATCTATTCGTCATCCAGATGACTTGGAAGTAATGAAATATAAAACAAATTCAATTTTAGAAAATGAATTATGATTATAGCTAAATTTGAAAATCTTGCATTTGAAGAAAATTGTTGCCAGTAAAAAAATGTTTTTTCAAAAAATAAAAAGAGAAAATCATTAAAGATAATAATTTAAAATATGAGAGATTTTAACAAAATTATTTGAATATCTCGGAATGCTATACAATAAACTAATATTTCATGCTTAACATCTGTTATTACTCTCTACTATTAATCTTCTGTAATTTCAGATCATACTAAGCAGCACTAAACACATCGAAAAAAGTAAAACATATGATTTATTACATCCTTGGCTCGGCACAGGTCTTCTCACTAGCACAGGTAATGTTAATAACTTTTTAGATATACTTTAATATTATAATTTGTTAGCTTGTCTCTATTATAGAATAAAATAAAATTTTCCGATTAAATTCTAATATTATATTAAATGATAAATTTATATAATTTGTAAGCTAATTAGTTTATAAAAGAGATTTACGCTTAAATGCAAACGCAATTATATTGAGGAATAATTTTATTGTTCCATATATATATATATACTCAAAATAATTAAGGGAACACTCTAAAACCTGCAAATTTTGTTGATTTTAAGAGGATATATCTCAGGTTGCAGAGGTTGTAGGACAATTTCTCTTAACGCGTTTTAAAAGGTGAAGCTTCTACTTTAAAATGGTTTAAGTGAAATTTTCTGTCCCTTTAATTAAACTGTTTTTTTTTTGTGAAGACCAAAAGCAGGTAGTATTAGAATTCTGAAAATTTCATGACTTTGCAGTCTTCCACGGGCATAGCAAAAGGACGAGGCAAAAAATGTCACTATATCAATTTTGAAGTTTGGAACTTTCCCTTTAAAACCGTAAAGAAAATTGTTCTAGCATACCTAGGAGCTCAGTTATCGGGTTCCAAAATAAACCTTGCATTTTGCAAGATTTTGGTTAAGTCGCTGGCATTCGCGTTATCCGATGTGCACCACGAGGAGATTGCTCGGAGTTTGCGCATCATGTGTGTGTGTGTGTGTGTGTGTGTGTGTGTGTGTGTGTGTGTGTGTGTGTGTGTGTGTGTGTGTGTGTGTGTGTGTGTGTGTGTGTGTGTGTGTGTGTGTGTGTGTGTGTGTGTGTGTTGTGTGTGTGTGTGTGTGTGTGTGTGTGTGTGTGTGTGTGTGTGTGTGTGTGTGTGTGTGTGTGTGTGTGTGTGTGTGTGTGTGTGTGTGTGTGTGTGTGTGTGTGTGTGTGTGTGTGTGTGTGTGTGTGTGTGTGTGTGTGTGTGGTGTGTGTGTGTGTGTGTGTGTGTGTGTGTGTGTGTGTGTGTGTGTGTGTGTGTGTGTGTGGTGTGTGTGTGTGTGTGTGTGTGTGTGTGTGTGTGTGTGTGTGTGTGTGTGTGTGTGTGTGTGTGTGTGTGTGTGTGTGTGGTGTGTGTGTGTGTGTGTGTGTGTGTGTGTGTGTGTGTGTGTGTGTGTGTGTGTGTGTGTGTGTGTGTGTGTGTGTGTGTGTGTGTGGTGTGTGTGTGTGTGTGTGTGTGTGTGTGTGTGTGGTGTGTGTGTGTGTGTGTGTGTGTGTGTGTGTGTGTGTGTGTGTGGTGTGTGTGTGTGTGTGTGTGTGTGTGTGTGTGTGTCAGTAGAGATAAGGACTCCACGGTTCATTCCTATAGTATTTAAGAGGATGCTGGAGTCGCCTGTATTATCGACGAAAACATCGTAATTTTCGGAAGTGTTGCCATTTTTTATTGCTTATATAGAATTAAAAATTCTTCTTCAGAATTTAAGTACACGCAAACGGACACGTGAAAACTCTATATAGTACGAGATTTTATATTAAGAAAGAAAATAAGTATAAAATTACATTTTTAGTTATCGATATGTTAAAGCAACATGGCATCAGAGCTGTCAGTTTGTACAAATATTAGCTTCTTATAAAAGTTTTATAGCTTTTATGCATAAAACAGTAGTTTTCACGATTGTGTACTACACCGTAGAAGATTGTCGAATTATAAAAACTGAATTTAATTGCCTAATTAATAAAGGGTATTCTTCCGAAAATTTCAGTCCGTATGTACCTGAAATATCGGTAAAGTAGAGTGCAAAAAGTAATGCTTCTTCTTTATAAATAACGTGATAGAGAGAGATACGGGATGAGGATTAGATGAGAGCGCTGTAATTGTGTAGAAGTTCGCGGTTCAGTACAGGATTCCCTTAATGATTCGGAACTCTCTCTGCTGTGTGTGTGTGTGTGTGTGTATGTGCATGTGTGTGAGCGCGCTATTAATTTAAAATGAGGTATTACTGCCCTTTTGATTAATTACCTCATTTAGTCTATCCCTCATATTAATGCATCTGCTCCCAGCAAAAACAAAGATATAACATATATCTAGAGTTATAACATTATACGAGGTGTGTTCAAAAAAAAGGTGACTTTTCAAATTTCGCGGGCTACGTACATTCGATTTTGAAATTTTTTTTTGTTATGTTGGTACACATGTCCCCAACATATGTTGACATTATCAGCTGTTTTGCATGTTTGGTTTGTTTTTCACAGATATAAGGGTTAGACGTGTTTTGGTGTGCTTGGCGATTTTTTGCTATCGAAAAAAATGGATCAAAGAATCTGTATTAAATTTTGAAAAATAAAATTAAGTGCTCTGACGTACTTGAAATGTTGACTGCGGCATTTGGCGAGTTTACTCTGAGCAAAAAAAATGTTTACAAGTGGTACAAGCTCTTCACAGAAAGTCGAGAAGATGTTAATGACGATGCCCGCCCTGGACGCCCCAGCACGTCAACAACCGATGACAACGTCGAAGCAGTGAAGAAAATTGTTATGGAGAATCGTCGAATCACTATTAGAGAAGTTGCTGAGGATGTCGGCATATTGGTTGGCTCATGCCATGCAATTTTTTTGGGTGTTTTGGGCATGCAACGTGTGGCGGCGAAGTTTGTTCCGAAATTGCTGAATTTCGACCAAAAACAACGTCGCGTAGACATTGCTCAGGAGCTGTTGAATGCCGTCAACGACGATCCAGATTTGCTCAAAAGGGTCATAACTGGTGACGAATCATGGGTATATGGCTATGACGTCGAAATCAAAGCCTAATCATCCCAATGGAAGCGGCCAGAAGAGCCAAGACCGAAAAAAGCTCGTCAAGTTAGGTCAAATGTGAAGGTTTTGCTCACTGTTTTCTTCGATTACAATAGCGTGGTGCATCGAGTTCTTGCCATGCGGTCGTACGCGGTCAATAAGAAATATTACCTTGAAGTTATGCGCCGTTTACGTGAAGCAATACGAAAAAAACGCCCGGAATTGTGGAAGAACCAGTCATGGATATTGCACCATGATAATGCGCCAGCTCACACGTCGTTGCTTGTTCGTGATTTTTTGGCCAAAGTCAACACCGTACATGCCTCAGCCACCGTATTCACCGAACTTGGCCCCCTGCGACTTTTTCTTGTTCCCAAAACTGAAAAGATCCATGAAAGGACGGAGATTTGCCACGATTGAGGAGATAAAGACTGCATCGCTGGAAGAGCTCGAGACCATACCAAAAAGCGCATATCAAAAGTACTTCGAGGATTGGAAAAAGCGCTGGCACAAGTGTATAATATCTGTGTCATAAGTCATATCTGTGTATCAAGTGTATAATATCTGAGGGGGATTACTTTGAAGGGGACAAAATAGATATTGATGAATAAATAAATATTTTTCGAGAAAAATAAAGTCACCTTTTTTTTTGAACACACCTCGTATATCACAAGTAATATAGTTACATAATAAATAAAATACATATATGTTACACTGCTAAATGTCAGCAACAAAAATACTTCTCTGATATATCAGAGATATATATCACTGAGCTTTAAATATTATATTTATGTTATATAATCATACTATATTACCATACCTATATTACATAACAAATATATTTCAGTTACGGAACATTAGGTAACATATACATTTCAAATGCAAACAATGTAAATGTGTTACATATATTTTACTCATATGTAAGGCGCACAATAGAGAAAATAGTAGGAATAAATATTAATTAAATATTAGAAGTAAGAATTATTTTAAAATAATAAATTCGAAAAAACTATGATATACAAATACAAATTCGAATATAAAAGGCTCTTACTAGTTTATTAGCCCTTACCCCTATAGTCCTTTATACCCGAATTTCTATTTTTATATTAGATGAATTTTTTCGATTCTATTATTTTAAAATATAATTCTTACTCATTATATTTTCTCTATTGTGCGCCTTACATATGAGCAAAATGTATGTTACACATTTACACATTGTTATATATATGCATTTGAAATGTTTGTTACTTAATGTATCCACATTGTGTGTTTATTAGGAATTAATACGTAACATTTAGAAGATTAGCCATATTTTATTTCAGTAATACATTTGCTAAAAAACAAAATTTATTATTTAAGTACTACAAAATAAAAAAAAAATATGCACTTTTATATCTAAATATACATATATATATATGTATATATATATATATATATATATATATATATTTACATACAGGGTGTTCGTCAATTTTCGATCTTAACGAAATAAGGAAGTAGATTGACTCAAATTAAAAAGGAATGACCTGTATTGTTTTGGGATTGTCGCAATAATTAACGAAAAATTAAATAAAGAAGATCGGCCAATCTGCGTGAGTAGAAGCGCGCGGCGACGAGAGTCGTCCCATTGTAATCCGATACTACGAGCGCGGCGAAGCGGTGTCGCTCTCCGAGACATGATAGTGATTTGTGATATATCGCAATACCGCACCGAAAAATGACCCGTCCTTTTAGTGGCAAGAAAATGATGCGCTATCATTTCCACACCACCTTGCGGTAGATAGCATGGTGCGCTTTTTTTATAGTGGTTTCCCCCATAGGCCTATTCCACTCTCAATTTGAAAATTATTCAAAATGCCATTACTATACGCAGAATATATCGTAAATGTAAAAAATTAATGGTGACAATACCTTTACAAAAATTGATCCGTGGTTGAAAATCCCTCGATAAAATGTATTGCAAACGTTGATACGATGATAAAATGCTTCAAGAATCCCTTTTTCATCTTGTACACGAAGGCGCACTGTTGGACGAGGTATTATGCGAGGTTGATCGCGATATTATGCACGACACCCAGTTTCACATAATTATTACACAACATGTAAAATTGTATGGCCATTTGATTTTTGTGCACGCCCGGGAAATAATTCCATGTAAATTGCGGCCACACAATAGTATTTTTTCTTGCTAGTCCGTATGCCACAATCATATCCGTATATTCCTGGAGAGTATACTTCATTTTTACTGTTAATTTACTAACGCAAACACAAGATTTTTATTAAAACGTCTTAGTTCTCGCACGCTGTTACCAAACTGCGTACCAGCCAGCACGCAACTACAGCTGACCAAAGCTGCCAGATCTCCACCGCAAAGAACATGCAATATGGCGCGGAAGGGATAATGAGGATGTAAGCGTAAGCGTACGTGTGAGCTCGGCGTTCGGCTAGCTTCGGATAGTAGAAGAGGACAGAATACAGTCTTCTGTCTCTTTCCTATCGAAAGTCATGCTTCTCGATATCTCGATATGCGCTCAACAAACTTTCTTTTATAGCATTTTTATTGTATAATGTGTTTAGAATATTATCTATATATATATATATATATATATATATATATATATATATATGTATACACATATTATAAACATATTATACGATAAAGAATAATATTTAAATAATTATAATATATTTGTATAATGTATATATATATACCGGGTGTTTCAGACCACCCGTACACCCCATTTTAAAGCAAAGGAAGTGGTTATTTTGAAAAATGTTTCAGACAAAAGTTGTTGAAGATAAAGTAATGCATTACATGGGTAAATTTGATTGACCTTGGGTGGCGTCGTGAAGGTCATGTCAAGGTCGACTTGAATTTTTTAAATGGGAACCCCTATTTTTCATTGCATATTCTTGTAGCTTATCTCGAGAGCTTTCCAAAACACTATAATTAAGTACCTTTTTATTAAGTACTTTTTGAGTTATAAGGCTTGAAATAATTTCTTAATTTTACATAAACCATAAAATATCTAGTAAACCATTCATTTTTCGATTATCTTACCTTCATACTTTTATGTACAAAATAATGAGAGGAATCAATTGGTGTAAAGAAAACACATAGTTGTTTCTAAGAAAAAATATGTAATTTGCAATTAACAATTCCATATTTTTTCTTAAAAACAACTGTATGTTTTCTTTACACCAATTGATTCCTCTCATTATTTTGTACATAAAAGTATGAAGGTAAGATAATCGAAAAATGAATGGTTTACTAGATATTTGATGGTTTATGTAAAATTAAGAAATTATTTTAAGCCTTATAACTCAAAAAGTACTTAATAAAAAGATACTTAATTATAGTGTTTTGGAAAGCTCTCGAGATAGCTACAAGCTACAAGAATATGCAATGAAAAATAGGGGGTTCCGTTTAAGATTTCAAACTTGCCCCCCCTCACCGCCCAGGGGGAGGGGTGGGGGGGCTGATTTTAACGTCATTGTACGTCCCCCTCGAAATGACGAAATTTTGATTCTAACCATTTTTTCGTAGTGTGCTTATTTTTCGAGTTATTTGGCTGCCTAAGTTAAAATGGGTCGCCCTGTATATTATTTATTTATATTTTCACAATGATAAATCTCTCAATTTTAAAGCACAATATCAGCACGAGACGCGCGAACAAGAATAACCCCTCGATTCACACAACTGTCAAAATTGCGATGACAGTCGCTCACGAAGTAAACAAAGCAAGGAAATCAATCAGCATCGCGGAAAAGAGACAACAATACATTCGATACTTTCGAGAATCGACTTAACATGCCTTTCTTAGAGAGGGATTTGTACCTGCTAATTGAATAAAATTTTAATTACATAATAATATAAAATTTACTTGAATGCTTGCAATTACTATATAAATATCATAAGAAGAAGATATAAAAAATTATGAAAAAGCAATAATAAAGCAGAAATAAAAGTTTCAAATATATAAATAATTAAAATTATTTAAGAACACAGGCCTGCGAAGGTCAGTTACAAAAGGCAGAGTAGGTGAATCTGATAAGTTTTTTGATATTAAGAACGAATTTGACCTCAGAATTTCTTCAGCATATTAGATTTTCGAATAATTTAAAATGACAATTTCAACAAATTTCATGAATTTATAATGAAAAACCTAATTTTTTGAAAGACTAGTACGACTAGTACACTATATGATGCCATTGGCAAAAATATTTCAAAAAATTAGGTTCCAAAAAATTAGAGTTCCCTCGTAATAAATTTATGAAATTTGAAAATAGACATTTTTGGCTATTTAATCACAAATTACTCAAAAATCTGATGTGTTGGAGAAATTCTGAGGCCAGATTCGTTTTCAGCAAAAAATCTATCAGATTCCGCTCTGCTCTTTGTAACTAACCAAATCTAAAATTTCGTAAGCCTGTGGAATTAATCAATTATAAGAAAAATAATCTTACATAATCGTATATAGTATTATATTTTGTCATGCAGAATTTATATTATTTTATTTTATTTTAGGCACCAAATGGCAAACGCGACGAAAGATACTAACACCTGCATTTCATTTCAATATATTGAATCAATTTATTGATATCTTGGTGAAAGAGAGTGATCGCATGACAAAATCTTTGAAGAATGTAAAAGGCACAATTATAAAGGATTTAGTACCATTTATTAGTGAACATACGCTGAATGCGATATGCGGTAAGGTTTTTCAAAATTCCTATTATACTTTGTTTATAGTTATATTCGAGGTCTTTTATTCTAAATAATTATAGCTTAAGAGAAGAACAAAATTTGTTCTTGTATAAAACATTCTGATACTATAAATTAACTACGATTGATAATATTTGTTTTTCATACCTAATGTTAAAATTATCAATAAAATATTCAACTTTAATATTTTATGGTTATGTTTTCGGCCTTACATAACAAATGCATTTATAGAAACTGCCATGGGTATATCTCTGCACGATTTCGGGATGTTCCAACAAGAATATCGAGAGGCGGTTCATCAAATAATCGAATTGTTTATTTATAGGTAATTTACAGACATATAGATATTGTATGGATATAATAAATAATTGTTATATGTAGATGTACAATTCTTTAAATTATGATTGTGATATCTATATCTTTCAAAAGAAAGATATTTATTGATAATCAAAATGAATCATATAAACAAGTCATCAATGTTTAAATTAGCTATCAAAACGGGAGCGTCCCGTTTGGCCACGTTAATATTGACCACCGTCCCGATTGACCACGTTGAAATTGACCACAGTCCCGATTGACCACCGTCCCGATTGACCACGTCCCGATTGACCACCGTCCCGAATTTCACATGGGTTTACAACGGGGTTAGGGTGGGGGTGGGGGGGTGGGGGATGTGCAGCTGTGCGTGGTCAATCGGGACGGTGGTCAATCGGGACCGTGGTCAATCGGGACGGTGGTCAATCGGGACCGTGGTCAATCGGGACCGTGGTCAATCGGGACGGTGGTCAATCGGGACGGTGGTCAATCGGGACCGCGGTCAATCGGGACGGTGGTCAATCGGGACGTGGTCAATCAGAATTGTGGTCAATTGGGACCGTGGTCAATCGGGACGGTAGTCAATCGGGGCGGTGGTCAATCGGGACGGTGGTCAATCGGGACGTGGTCAATAGCAACGTGGTCAATCGCAACGTGGTCAATTTCAACGTGGTCAATCGGGACGGTGGTCAATATTAACGGGTCAATATTAACGGGTGCCACTCATCAAAACGTATTGCACTTATATACAGGGTGAGCCATTTTAATTTATCCACCACAATAACTTTTTTATATTTGAATGTACAACAAAATGTTTCAAATAAAAGTTGCTTGACTTCGAGGGGGACAGAAGATGGGTGGCAAAAATTTGAACTTGGATAGTCATTTGAAGGTCACATAAAGATTACCTTCAATTTCTTAAATGGAACCCCCTATTTTTCATTGCATATTCTTGTAGCTTATCTCGAGAGCTTTCCAAAACATTATAATTAAGTACCTTTTCATTAAGTACTTTTTGAATTATAAGGCTTGAAATAATTTCTTAATTTTACATAATCCATAAAATATCTAGTAAACCATTCATTTTTCGATTATCTTACCTTGATATTTTTATGTACAAACGAGATAAATCAATTTGTGTAAAGAAAACACATAGTTGTTTCTAAGAAAAAATATGTAATTTGCAATTAACAATATTTTTTCTTAAAAACAACTATATGTTTTCTTTACACCAATTGGTTTACTAGATATTTTATGGTTTATGTAAAATTAAGAAATTATTTCAAGCCTTATAACTCCAAAAGTACTTAATGAAAAGATACTTAATTATAGTGTTTTGGAAAGCTCTCAAGATAAACTACAAGAATATGCAATGAAAAATAGGGGGTTCCATTTAAGAAATTGAAGGTAACCTTTATGTGACCTTCAAATGACTATCCAAGGTCAAATTTTTGCCACCCGTCTTCTGTCCCCCTTGAAGTCAAGTAACTTTTATTTGAAACATTTTGTTGTACATTCAAATATAAAAAAGTTTGGGGTGGATAAATTAAAATGGCTCACCCTGTATATATATATATATATATATATATATATATATACATATATACAGGGTGTCAGGGAATTTTTTAGTCATTTTAAGTTATCCACCCCAATAATTTTTTTATTTTTGAATGTACAAAATATTTCAAATAAAAGTTTCCTGACTTCGAGGGGGATAGAAGATGGTGGCAAAAATTTGACCTTGGATAGTCATTTGAAGGTCAGATAAATGTCACCTTCAATTTCTTAAATAGAACCTACTATTTTTCATTGCATGGTCAGCTTACCTCGAGAGCTTTCCAAAACACTATAATAAATTATTTTTCCATGAAGTACTTTTCGAGTTATGAGACTTGAAATCATTACTTAATTTTATATAAACCATAAAATATCTTGTAAAATATTCATTTTTTGATTATTTTACCTTAACCTTTAGAGGGCCGGAAAACCACTATTGTGGCGCACCAGAATAACTTGTTCAATTCAGGCTCGAGATGCACTTATTTTTTTTACTTGTGTTGATACAACATTTTTCACTCAAAAAAAAAAAAGATCTTGCAACTATAGCAAAAATTTTCTAGGTGCGAAAAATTAACTGAGGCAGATAAACGATTAGCAAATATTGTAATATCGTATATATGTTGCACGTAATCAATCTAAATGACAGAGACAGAATTTATATCTGAACTGTTTGTGAAATTTAGAAAGAAAGTCTTTCTGTGACGTCTATCCATGTTATGATCAGAAGAGGGTGTTTCGAAATCATACGTGATGAAAGGGGTAGTTTTTGTAATTTTATAGGGGTTGTTTTCAGGTTTATTGTATTTTTGACATCAGATTTGGATTCTACGTCGAAAAATACATCGGAAACGCATATTTATACTTCCAAATTGATGTGAAAGAAATTTTATATGCGGGTCGATCCCTTCCGGACCGGAAAGCCACTATAGTGGCGCTACGCATTATCGACACTTAGTGTATGGTCAATCCATGATATAAGATACCTTTTTTACCATTTTACTAAGGTGGATATGCCTCTCAAATCCCGGCCCTCTAAAGGTTAATACTTTTATGCACAAAATAATGTGAGAAATCGATTGATGTAAAGAAAACACATAGTTATTTTTAAGAAAAAATATGGAATTGTTAATTGCAAATTACATATTTTTTCTTAAAAATAACTATGTGTTTTCTTTACACCAATTGATTTCTCTCATTATTTTGTACATAAAAGTATTAAGATAAGATAATCAAAAAATGAATATTTTACAAGATATTTTACGGTTTATGTAAAATTAAGAAATAATTTCAAGCCTCATAACTTGGAAAGTACTTAATGAAAACTAACTTAATTATAGTGTTTTGGAAAGCTCTCGAGATGAGCTACAAGAATGTGTAAAAATATATAGGCTGTTCTATTTAAAAAAAATTGAAGTGACATTCACATGACCTTCAAATGACTTCAAGATCAAACCAATGGCACCATCTTATGTCCCTCTAGAAACCATACAACTTTTGTCTGAAACATTTTTTCGATTTTTAATTATTTTCCGAAATATTTGCCTGGGGAAATTAAAATGAGATACCCTGTATATATATATATATATATATATATATATATATATATATATATATATATACAATTTTAATCTTACTATATATTTTCTTCATATATTTACTTAAAATTTTCTTTGTAATTTTGTGTGGCTTTAATAGTTTTAGAATTCAGTTTTAAATAATAGTTTTAAATATTTTTACAAAATTATATCATTATTAAAATTATATAATCTTATCTAATTACGTTTTAGATTACCGAGATATTGGCTTCATAATAATCTGTTATTTGCGTTGTCACCACAAGGAAGGAGACAAAAAAAGGTCCTTAAAATATTACATAGATTTACGGAAAAAGTAAGTTATATCAAGTACTCTCTCCTTTATATGAAATTACAATAAATTTCATAATCTTTATGCAGTCAGTTTATGGGGTTATATCATATAGATATCATCATTTTATTATTATATAATGTTATTTAATAAAAATCATAAAAAAATTTAATTATATATTTATGTAGATTATTGCAGAAAGGAAATTTTATCATGAATGCACCAATGGTCGATACTTAAAAAACTTTGAAAGTGGGAAAAAGCCGGAGATAGATGATACAGAAGTGTTCGGAAGTACGTAAGATGATCAAAGCTCATACAGCACAGAAAAGTTGCAAGACATTGCAGAAATTTTCATTGCAGAATATTTTCACCTTTGAAACATTGCAATATTGCAAACTTTGCTGTATTATTATGTAAAATTGCGGCAAGCGAAGTAAGATATTCGCTTTTTTAATATTGCAAAATCATAGCAACATTGCAATTTAATGTGCAACAAAACATCATAGTTACATTGCAATGTAATGTGTTGAAAAGAATGCAATGTTATTACAACCGTCCAATAATATTTGCGTATGAAATATTTTTGTTTATAATAGATATCTCAGAAGCTTATAAAAACTTAAAATATAATTGATTGATGTTTCTATGTTCTTTAAATTACATTGTAAGATCCCAGACAACAGACTTTTCATAATATGTTCATAAAGAACTCATATTTTTGATAATTCTTTATAATTTGCATTAAATGAATTCAAGATGTGATATAAAAATATTACTTTTTGAAACTCTTGAACACTAAATCATAAGCAGCTGATTATGAGTTCCTACATATGAACCTGTTATAACATTCAGTGGTCAGAAAAATATCATTTTGATATCAGAAATGTGGCACGTGTTTCTTTGCTTGCCGCTACGCGGTGTGTCACTCTTAACTCGTATTCAATATTTATCATAAAATGTATATAAAGAACTAGTAATTAATACATAAGATTTAAAGTATATTTTTTTTCCTTTTATGAGCAGTAGTGTCAGAAAGAGGACACACTGCTCATACGCATATAAACAGGGAGAGCCATATACATGTGTTATACAGCATAATTGTGTATGAACCGCATCTCTTGCTGATATAACTATTTATAGTTATATCAGCAAGAGGTGCGGTTGATATACAATTATGCTGCATAATATAGTTTAATTTCTGACAAACTGAATTTAAAATAATTATAGAATATTTAGAAAATCATTAAAAACCTATTATAAATTGCATAAATTTTCTTAATTACTGACATTTTTACAATTTGCAATAATGTGCATAACTAACTTTTCTACGATCTTGTCCTCAGAATAAGTTCATAATACTGTTCTTAAAGAACTCATTATGACTCAAAGTGTCCATTTAGGTGGCGCAAGATCACAATCCGAGCACCTTAGCATCTCTTTTTGAAAAAAAATTGAAGAATTCATAAAAATTGATGTAACTCATAAAGAACTACTATAAGATGTCTCCATGCTGTCTGGGATGTGTTTATTTAAAGATATGTTTATTTTAAGGGCTTATTAACCATTTATAAAACATTTAAAAAATGTTTATATGTTTATATTTAGTATTTTTATATATTAAATGTCTTTGTTTATATTTAGTATTTTTATATATTAAATGTCTTTGTTTATATGTAGTATTTTTATATATTAAATGTGTTAAACTTTATCTCAATAATTTATACACGACTATTTTACATACACTCGGAAATACTTTAATACATGCAATATATAAATAGACTATTTATCCATCTTTCTCTCTCTCTCCCTCTCTCTCCCCCTAATTCAAATAATCTATTTAATATTCTGAATCCCAATCCCAAAAAATCCCAAAAAATATTTTAAATTAACTTAATTATTTTAAATCAGAAATTAAACTGATAACAGAAAAGAAATACACTTTGGATCTTATGTACCAGCCTTTGTAAACTTTATATCCATTTCATGATGAAAAATTGACTAAGTGTTAGTTAAATTTGGTTTTGCCGCATAGCGAAGGAATACATACCACATATTATTACATATTTTCGCTATTTTAAAATGTTGCAACAGTGTTAAAATAAAACAATGTCTATTGTAAATAATGTCTATTATAAAATAATGTCTTTGCAATATTTCTACAATACGCAATGTGCAATATTGTAACAAGAGATGTTACTACAAACTTCTCTGCTGTACGCAAGAGAAACAGAGATAAAGAAGTTTTAATTTAAATTTAAATAGCACAATATAATATTATACAGGATGATCCATTTAAGTAAGGCTGTCTTTTCGAATTGTGATGATGCACATTATATAAAAAATATTTTTTATATAACGTGAATAGTATCGAAGGACTGATATTCGGCAAGAATATTTTTCAAGGTCATGTTTTTTGAAGTTCGGAGTTTTCAAGGTCGTTGATGTTTTTTTACAAATATATATTTCTTTATTTTCGTGTATCTAATCAATAAATATGTTCAGACATGTATAATAACATGACCTTGAAAAATTATCTCGATTTCCAAAAATTAAAGTTTTATGCAAAACTTATGTCTATCAAAATCGTAGGTTTTAGTCAAGACGTGACAATCGAGAGCCTATAAATGTAAAATAAACATGTTTACTATTGCAATACTGGTGATCCATGATGATTTAAATATTTTTTTCATTTTTAATTTATCAGAATATCTACGCGTGTACGAACTGTTCATGATGCATAACGCAAGAAAAGATTAATATGATATTCATTTATGATAAAAGTGTTTAGTGTTTAAGGGAAACAATTCGAATATACAAAGTTAGAGCTAGTGCTAATATTAATTCTGAAATAATCAAAAGATTATTATTATTGGTTATTGCTCGTTTCAGACAATATATCATCGTAGAGGTATATAACTTTGAACATCTACGAAAATAGTAACTTAAAAAAAAGTGCCATATACATTTCATGATTAAATCTTCTAGGTAGATATTATTAGTGCAATAAAATATTTTTTTCACATTTATAGGTTTAGGTCTCTCAAAGCTTATATCTCGACATAAATCTTATATAAAATTTTAATTTTCAGAAATCGAGGTTATTTTTCAAGGTCATATTATTATACATGTCTGAATATATTTTTAATCGGGAGAGTCCCATTAGCCCACAAGCCCGATAGCATATATCGGCCGATGCTTAAGGTAACCAGCACAGTTGACCAATCAGAAGATCCTAGTGTTCTAACTGATCAATTAGCAACACTCGTGCGCTATCGGGTCCTGTCCTTTTTAATCATCGTTTTTAATCATCTACATAATGCAATAAAAAAATATATAGTTGTATGCAAAAAATCATTAATGACCTTGAAAACTCCGAAAAAACTGACAAAAAAGAACTCTTGTCGAATATTGGTTTTTTGACCATTCACATTATATAAAAAATATTTTTTGCATCATCACAAGAAGAGATATTTTTTAGGTGGCCTTACTTAAATGGATCACCCTGTATAAATTATACTATTCATCATATATGTATATCATTATATATATATATATATATATATATGTATGTATATATATACAGGGTGAGCCATTTTAATTTATCCACCCCAATAACTTTTTTATATTTGAATGTACAACAAAATGTTTCAAATAAAAGTTGCTTGACTTCGAGGGGGACAGAAGATGGGTGGCAAAAATTTGACCTTGGATAGTCATTTGAAGGTCACATAAAGGTTACCTTCAATTTCTTAAATGGAACCCCCTATTTTTCATTGCATATTCTTGTAGCATATCTCGAGAGCTTTCCAAAACACTATAATTAAGTATCTTTTCATTAAGTACTTTTTGAGTTATAAGGCTTGAAATAATTTCTTAATTTTACATAAACCATAAAATATCTAGTAAACCATTCATTTTTCGATTATCTTACCTTGATACTTTTATATACAAAATAATGAGAGGAATCAATTGGTGTAAAGAAAACATACAGTTGTTTTTAAGAAAAAATATGGAATGTTAATTGCAAATTACATATTTTTTTCTTTATGTGACCTTCAAATGACTATCCAAGGTCAAATTTTTGCCACCCATCTTCTGTCAAATTTTTGTCACCCATCTTCTGTCCCCCTCGAAGTCAAGCAACTTTTATTTGAAATATTTTGTTGTACATTTAAATATAAAAAAGTTATTAGGGTGGATAAATTAAAATGGCTCACCCTGTATATAATATCAGACAATGATGCAACATATTTGTAAAATTTCTTCATTATTAGCAATAAAATTAGAATTTTTAATGAGAACAATGTTAATTAATTAAGTCACTACATGCAAAAATGAGAATGCTAATATGTTTATGCTTTTTTACTTTTAGTTAAAAAAAAACGACTAGCTATGTTGGATCTCTTAATAGCGGCGTCTCAAGAAGGCTTTCTCACTGATTTAGATATCAAAGAGGAAGTTGATACTTTTATGTTTGAAGTATGTATTTGTAAGATTTTTTAAATTTTTTATTTACACATTACATATCTAGACACATATAATGTGACATGATTATAGGGTCATGATACTACAGCGATGGGTATAACATTTGCTTTATTATTATTAGCTGAACACAAAGATATCCAGGTACTTTTTTGTTGCTATATACAGAGTGTCCCATTTTAAATAATACGCTCAAATATCTCCGAAACGGTGGGTTAAATAAAAAAATGTTTCAAACAAAAATTGTATGGCTTAAAGGGAACCATCAGTTGGTGACAACAATTTGATCTTGGAGTCATTTAAAGATCACGTGAAGGTTACTGTCAATTTTTTAAATGGAACTCCCCGTTTTTATTACATATTCTTGTAGCTTACTTCGAGGGTATGGCTTGTATGAGTTGTATGGCTTGAAAGGGGCCTCAGATGGTGAGAATAATTTGACCTTAGAGAGTCATTTAAAGGTCATGTGAAAGTCACCGTCAATTTCTTAAACGGAACTCCCTATTTTTTATTGCATATTCTTATAGCTTATCTCGAAGGCATTCCAAACCACTATAATAAAATATTTTTCCTTCAAGTAGTTTTTGAGTTATAAGACTTGAAATCATTTCTTAATTTTACATAAACTATAAAATATCTAGTAAAACATTCATTTTTTGATTATCTTATCTTAATACTTTTATGTACAAAATAATGAGAGGAATCAATTGGTGTAAAGAAAAAACATAGTTGTTTTAAAAAAAATATGTAATTGTTAATTGCAAATTATATTTTTTTCTTAAAAACATCTATGTTTTTTCTTTACACCAATTAATTCCTCTCATTATTTTGTACATAAAAGTATTAAGATAAAATAATCAAAAAATGAATGTTTTACTAGATATTTTATAGATTATGTAAAATTAAGAAATGATTTCAAGTCTTATAACTCAAAAACTATTTGAAGGAAAAATGTTTTATTATAGTGGTTTGGAATGCCTTCGAGATAAGCTATAAGAATATGCAATAAAAAATAGGGAATTCCGTTTAAGAAATTGACGGTGACCTTCACATGACCTTTAAATGACTCTCTAAGGTCAAATTATTCTCACCATCTGAGGCCCCTTTCAAGCCATACAACTTTTGTTTGAAACATTTTTTTATTTAATGCACCGTTTCAAAGATATTTGAGCGTATTATTTAAAATGAGACACCCTGTATATTTATATTGTGATTTTTATTCAAACTACTACAGATATTTAATTTTTGTTGTAATGTATGTTTCTATATACGTGTGCGTGTGTGTGTGCGTGTGTGCGTGCATATGTATTAGTATATGTATATATTTCAAAAAAACTGAAAAATTAAAATACCTCTCTTTTTAAAATAGATATAAAGAATTTATTAAAATTTATTAATAATTTGTTTGTATTTAAGTGTACAAAAATCAGAATATTATTAATATATTTTAACTATTATACAGGAACGCGTTAGAATTGAAATAAATACCGTGATGCAAGAGAATGGAGGAAAACTTACTATGAGTTCATTGCAAAATTTATTATATTTAGACAGATGTTTAAAAGAAACACTACGTTTATATCCTAGTGTGTTTCTTATATCACGAAAGGCTGCGAAGGATGTAAAATTACGTAATTAATTACTTTTTTTGCATATATATCTTTGAACATATCACACTATATATTAATGAATATAAAGATATAAATGTTTAATTACTTTAATATTTTAAAGTACTATTATTTACATATTATATACATTTTTTTTATTTTTCAATGGAATTGTTATTTTTGTAAATCATATCTAATCTTATAAAATATAACCTTATCTTTTTTAGAGTCATATATAGTTCCTGCTGGAACGACTGTACATCTTAATATCTATGGAGTTCACAGAGATCCTAATTTTTGGCCAAATCCAGAAGTATTTGACCCGGATAGATTTTTGCCCGAGAAGGTCCAAAAGCGTCATCCTTATTCTTATTTACCATTTAGCGCAGGACTACGAAATTGTATAGGTAAATTATTTATGATTGTCATTTCTCCTTTCTTTCTATTAATAGTTTTCGATACAATTTCGAATTATAGGACAACGATTCGGTTTGTTGGAAATGAAGACCATAATAGCTCCTTTGGTATATAATTTTTATTTAGAACCTGTTGATTATTTAAAGGATCTCGAAATGAAAACTGCTATAGTACTTCGTCCTTCTCATCCGGTTCGTATAAGATTTGTTCCAATTGAATGTGAACAATTTGAAACAAATATAGGCAGAACAGACGTAAGAAATTGATGTATTGCAAAAGTGGAAGAAAATTTTATCCATGTATTCTATCTGTGTAATCACTTTGAATATTGTGAACAATATGCACATTATACACACACACACACACACACACACACACACACACACACACACACACACACACACACACACACACACACACACACACACACACACACACACACACACACACACACACACACACACACACACACACACACACCACACACACACACACACACACACACACACACACACACACACACACACACACACACACACACACACACACACACACACACACACACATATATATATATATATTAATGTATATATGAAGATATTATATTCAATCATAAAAATATATATACAGGATATTTTAAGAGTCAGATTTTTGAATAATTAAATTTATGAAATATATTCAATTGTTTGGGAATACTCTATTTTATTTATTACTAAGATGTAAAATAAAAAAATCTTATAACTACATTATGATAATTGAAAAGCATTCCCAGATAGTCAAATCTGTTAGAACAAATTTTCGTCAAACACCCATTACAAATTTTAAAGGCAGAAAGACTACAGTTTGCATGCGAGGAATTGATATGTTCGATCATGTTGTCAGCATGTCAGCAGACATACAATAAAATCTGTTCACATAACTGGACAACAGATCGTCAATAGAAACCGAGCAGAACTTGTTGATCTAATTGACGGTACATTGATGGCAGGAACCGAGCAGGATCTGTGCGGCACAATTTTGACAGCAGATTGATAATAAAAACCGAACAGGATCTGCGCAATGAAATTTGATATTAAATTGTTGGCAGAAATCGGGTAGAGCTTGCTGATGTAACTGACGGCACATTGATGGCAGAAATCGAGCAGGATCTGTGCGACGCAATTTGACAACAGATTGTCGGCAGAAACCGAGCAGGATCTACGCAATAAAATTTGATGTCAAATTATCAGTAGAAATCGAGTAAAGCCTGCAGATATAATTGACGGTAGATTGATAGCAGAAACTTAACAGGATCTGTGAGGCGCAATTTGATAGCAAATTGATAACAAAAATCGAACAGGATCTGCGCACACAATCTCTGATAGCAAATTGACGGCAGAAACGGAACAGGGTTTACATGATTTGATAGTTTCTTCACTTACCGCTACGTGAGCTGTACTTTCTCGTAATCTAATTTTTGTCAGAAATATATATAAAGTCGCGAATATGAATAAAAGACCAAAAATATAGTAATTATCATTTTAATTTTTATCACTTTAATTTCTGATATCTGATACAAGCAGATGAGATTCGGAATATATTAAACTGATATGTACACTATATATTAAACTGATTGGAATCAATATGATAAATGGAAAATTATTCATGTATTTCCTATTTGAGGCATAAAACAAGAATTTAATTCTAAATAAATTACATCTCAAATTTTACAAGTTACATTTACTTTTATCATTTACTTTATTATTAATTTAATTAAATTGAATTAGTCTTTCGCTATATGAGATATAACATATTACATATATCTCATTTTCTATGAAAATTCTTAACTTGTCGATAATATTGTTATTTAGCACTTGTAATAATCAATTTTGTTGCATTTATAAACATTTTATAACATTCATAAAAGTAAGCGTAAATCTTGTGAAATCTTTCTGCTGTCAATTTGCCATCAGATTGCATACGCAGATTCTGCTCGGTTTCTGCTAACAATCTAACATCAAATTGCACACGCAGATCCTGCTCGATTGCTGCTGTCAATCTGCTGTCGGTTTATGCTAACAGATTCTGCTAGCAGAACCCAAGCTTAATGCGGACGCAGTTGATGCTAATCTGCCGCAATATTCTGTTTGAATCTGCTCGCATGCTGCTAGCAGACTGCTAACATTTTGCTTACTGGGATATATATATATATATATATATATATATATATATATAATTTTTTTAGCTAATATTTATTTTATATTTTTTCAAAATATCGATAAGTCCTAAGTTTGCTCTTGTTTATAAGAATATGTATTGTTAATTTGCAAAAAATTATATGTAAAATTACTAAATAAAGAATAATTTTATTAAACTATATATTTATATTCATTTAATTAATATACCAATACTATAATTTGATCTACATATATCCAAAAGTAATGCATTGAATCTCTGAATTAAACAGTTTTCTCTCTACATTTTTCTAAATTTTTATTTGAGATATATTTTCGGATATTATTATCTCTTGAATATTATTATATCTTTCGTAATGGATTGCATACTGATTGCAACTGATATAATAATGTATTGATAATATATTGATATTTTGATATAGCTACTTTAGAATTTTAATTTACTTTAATATTTTGCAACACGATTATTTTTTTATTAATTATGGATCCTATTAACAATAATTTAGCATTATTTTTAAATCTTTTCAAAAATAACTGTCACAAATTGACTGAAATTAATTTGTTTACTCGAAGATTTAAACATTATTATACATAACTTAAGAAAGATACCATTATTAAATATAATGTCCGGCGATCCCTAGATCTCAAGATCCCTAGATCTGGCAGAAATTTTTTCATTTCTCATTATCCTCCATCCAATAAGTTCAAACTAACATGAAACTAAGAGAAACACACTTATGCGTCACTTATATTGAAAAGCGAATCTGAGAGAGATATATATGTATGAATCCTTTATACAAGCGAGATAGACTAATATGTAATACTTGGGAAAGACAAAGAGCGATATAAGGAAATCCTTTTAAATATAAATTTCTTTTATTATACAACTATATAAAAATATAATGTAAAATATGTTTAAAAGATTAAGGAGAATCTATTTATGCAAAAATCATGATAAATGACCAATATTTTAAATTATTGTAAATTTTTGAAAAGAGTCATTTATCGTAATTTATTATAACTACTATAATGTATGTAAGACTCGACCTTGCAAGCAATGCATTTGGAGAATCAGTTAACGTATTCCTGGAAAACTTTCTCTTAAAGACCACCCAAGAAGTTCGCAAAAATCCGTTTCATAGCCAAAGAATTTGTTCTTAAAATTCTGTCATAAATTACCCCTCATTCAATTTTAAAAGTGTATAAAAATTCTTCCAACAATGGAAGAGCAGACATTCTCATAGATTCACTCTAGATTTAACTCAGATTCTTACTCGCTGTAAACCGCTAGATCAAGTCAATTCAGAATAAAGAATTTCAAATTTTAAAACAAGCATATACTTCTTTAATCGTCATCAGTGAAGAAAACTCAACCTGAAGCAGTTAATTATCGTGGGGTTTTACCCCCTTAAATACAAGAAGAACCCACAACTAAGACGTTCTGTGGAACTCGTAAAACTATTGGAAGATCCTGTCTCACGGAACCAACTAATCGAAGTTACCAGAACGTTACAATAAACAAGTTCCAATTAATAAGTATGTTCTAAATATATATGTGTTTTATCTAAATTTAAATCTTAAATATTATAAGTTACAATTATAAAAAAGGTGGTTAAAGATAACAATCAAATTAAATTATAAATACAAAGGCAATAACCACTGCGCCAAGATGAACGTAGCAAAAAAATACTAAATTGACTTATTACCGTGAAGTCATAATAAATCGAATAATTATCTGGATGTTAACCGTAGATGTAAAAAAAGCTAAAGATCATAATCAAATTAAAAGAATATTATTATTGGAAAAAAATTAACAGACTGAAAGTCGTCATCGAAAGTTACATCAAAAATAAATATTATAAATCAAGAATCAAAAATTCTTCATTGTTTTATTTTTATTACAAAAATAAATAATATTTATATCAAAAGAGAGAAACTAAAAAAGAGTTTTAAATATTTTTTGGGTGTATTATTAGTGCAAATTATCAAACCTATAGTGCTGTTGTCTTTTATCTATATGTTAATATAAATAGTTAATTTAAAATATATATAATTAGATAAAATATTCTATACTGTACGTTGTAACGCTTAGTAATTAAATAATATAATGATTTAAAAAGCAAAGTATAAAATACTTGGTCAAAATCATTATTAACAACAATAAAGAAATTCTAAAAGAAATAAAGAAAAATTATATTAAAAACAAGTTTATAAAAACCAATTAATAATGTAAGTATATTATAATAAATAGAAGTTATATAAATAATAACAATATTTTGTATTAAAACATGAAACGTCTTATATGCTACAATGCTGATTATATAGCAAATTTTTAATCTAATCAAAAGATTGGAGTCTATAATAATAACGTTTAAATATATATCCCCGCAAATAATGTTACATTACGCTCTATAATGGAATGAATAAAATTTAGAAATCTTGCCGATCTTATTTTCGGATTAAAAATATCCAGATAACATTATTGAATTTAAAGTTGATTCTGGTTCTTTTAACAATAACCATTATTCCTTTTTTGATATTAACAATAAGTGGTCTGTTAATTTATCGTCTATTTTTATCTCGAAAAATGTACAATCATTGTTACATATGTAACAATGATAAGCTAACTATGGAATTCATCAAAAGTTTTGAAAACAACATAAGAAAGCTTCCTGCGGCTAATCAATTAGCTATTCAAAATCGATCTTTAAATATTATTAACAATTTATTTTATTACTCAGTTGATAGAAACGAATTTGGTAAGACTCTCTACTCAATTAACAATAGCTACAAAAAGGTTTCTTAAAAACAATAAAAATTTAATTTTGACTCGTGCAGACAAAAGTAATGTCACAGTGGCTTTAGATAAAGATAAATATGTTAGTGAAATCGAAAATCTTCTGATGGATACTGACGCCTACATAGTTGTTGGAAGAAACCCTGTCAAAAGGCTGACAAACGATTTACGTGACATTTTAATGAGTTGGAAGAATTCGAATTTCATTTCAACTTCCATTTACAAGGCACTTCATTGTAGTGATGGTATTCTTCCGAGAGCTTATGACCTACCCATAAACCGAACTGTCCGTTTAGAATTATTAAAATATACTTAGTATATACAATGTATGTACATTTATGTATATTGTATATTCTATGTATATACATTCTTGATAGAATTTACATACATAAGATGTGAAATGTACGTGCAAATGTAACCGGAAAAATATACA